ATAGGCATATAAAATCAATATTTAATATTGCTGTAAATTTAAAAAAATATATATATATATATATATATAAAATTCGTTAATATAATGCGTATTAGTATTATTTTTTTAAAATAATATAAGAGGATGAGCTACTCCATTAAAAAATAAATAAATAAAAAGACGATGGACCATTTACTACGATTGTAGGCATTTAACCAACTTTATTTCATTCTTCATCTAAACTTGTTGAATGAATTTAAAAACGTAATGCACTGTAAAAAATTCCAGATCAAATAACGGTAAAAAGTACCGGTAATTTGGGTGCATTATCCGTAAAATCCAATTTTACCGCAAAATATTATACAATAATTTTCACTGTAATATTTATTTTATTACAGTGATTCAATGATTGTACGGTAATAGTTACTGTAAAAATTACGGTATATCAGATTTATTTCTCCGTCACGTGTTCCGGAAAAAATGGATTTTAGAATAAAAAGTACTGGAAAGCTGAGTGTCGGTACCATTTTACCGTAATTTGATACGTAATTTTTTACAGTAGATGACTAGCCACCATAAACGCACTTTTTTCTAATGCAAAATATGTTATTAAGTTACAAAAGAATGCAATTATGTAAACATCTTATTTCAAATACAATTTCCTTTCTAAAATTTGAGAATATTTTTTACACTTTGTTCGGTGGCATAATAGATCAATAAATCGAGAAATAGAAATGAAAATCATTTACGAAGCAAATTTCTTTTTTATTTAAGAATATGAATTTTACGGTAAAAAGTAACGGTAAAAGTACCGGTACTCTTAGTGTCGGAACTTCTCACCATAATTTAATCCGGAATTATTTACATCGTGTGTTAGAATTTCATAGAAATGCTTGAAAGTTCAACTCTTTCCTATACTACATGAATTTACTCATATTAATGTATTAAAAATAAATTTATTTCAAGCAATACACTAGTTAAAAGAAAAATATTAATTTTCTCTTTATTAATTAATTTTATTGTAATTTCAGGAAGAGAAAATCCTCTTCTCGTTATTTTCATTTCCTTCCTCATATTTGTTTATCAGTAGTTGAAAAACTAAGCTGTGTGTCTCGTTCTTATCATGTCGGAAAACCCTTTATAGCTTTGAAGATTACACCATAGTTATAATTTAATTTTTATAAGTTTAAACCACATCCTGTTTCTTTTTCTTGGGAAATTCCGAAACTAACATGCGTTTAAAAGTCCAACAAGAGAAATAATTTGCAACAGTCGATTCCGACAGCTCAAAAATAATGTAAGTATGTTTTCTTTAGTATCAAAATCAAATAGTGTGTGTTTTATCGCTAAAGTCCTTAATGTGTACTCTACCTAGTTAATCTACCGGTTAACTGATTACTGTTAAAAACACGGAATTAAACATTTTCCGCATAATACTTAGACTATGTAGACATTATAACTGCTTTCGTATTGTTAAAGCTCAAAAGCTTGTGCGTCTCTTTATATCATTTAATTTGATGATTGTTTGACTTGATTTTAAAATATATAAAAATAAATAATTGACTTTATGTTAGTTTCCTTAATTGTAATAATATCTTAAACTGTTAGAGTCAACGTATTATAATTTTAAAGCAATTTATGACTGATTCCATAGATTAATTTGTTGATTTTTTGATTGTAGTATTTAATTTTTTAGATACCGAAAGCAAAATAAATAACAATATGTTAATTTAAGTGTACAGAAACGTTACGATTGTTCCAGCAAATATCTTATTTTCATCTCTCGTTTGGCGAGAGTATGGGGTGAGAATGTTCCATTATAATTGTTTAGATTTAAATTATCTCATTCAAATTGTGGTACGTGTAAAAGCTCGATTTGGTGTTTCCCAAAAATAAAGTGTTTCTTCACACAATGTTTTGGGCTGGTCAATATCATATTCGGAGAAATATTACACCAGATTTTTTACAGTATAGTTAATCTTCACATTAGCTACACTGTAAAAAAGTGGTGCAACCATCTCTCCGAATTCAATGTTGTCCAACTCAAAAATTTGTGTGAAAAACGACATCTTTTTAAAGTTAGCACCAAATCAAGCTTTCATGTTCAATTTAAGGGTGTAAATAAATCTAAAAAAAGTTTTTTCAGTGTAGATAATCTGTGGAATAACTGATTTCTACACTTCAGTGGTGACACATATGTTACTGTCAATGACCAAAATTAGTGTAGAGGAAAGTTGCCTAAATCGTGCCTATCCTAAATCGAACCATCTTTGATTTTTAAAGAAGTATGGTATGCACAACGGATAAATTTACGATATATATCATAGAATTAATAAAAAAAGGTTATTGTTTCGTAGTCTAACTGGAATCCTAGACTTGGTGACATATTTCGATAAACAAGGAGAACATTCGTTCTTGAAAAAGAAACAACTGTATGACGATGCAAGAGCACTGATTTTGACTGGGCCACTGAAAATGGAGCCTCTTATGCTGACAAGCACTTAACAAATAAAATGTGAGATAAGGAATTTTTACTTTTGCTTCACAATAGAAGAAAACCGTCTGCAAAAAGCAACAACTGTTTATACACAGAGCTCATATCCCCCAATTTTTCGTTTTTATGTTCATTCATTCACAAACTAGAAGCATAAAATAGGTTTTGCCTTTACTTTTAGAAGTCAGTGTATAGTTTCTGCTCATAAAAAATAAAAATGTAACATTTAGTGCACAAAAAGCAACAAAAGTGCTTAATTTTTTCTTTTTTTAAACAGAGAGATGATATATTTCCCCGTGACATTTAACGCTTAATAGCTCACTGAAACAGTATAAACAGATTTCTTAAAAAATATATATATATTTATGGTCTTAAATAATGTGAAACTTCTAGCATGGTTGAAATTTAAATTATTCTGCAGATTTTGTTGATCGAAATATAAATTAATGAACTAAATTATTAACTAATACAAACTTTACAGACTGTAAATGTTTACTTTTAATTTTAAGTGTGCAAAACATGATTTTAATAACTTTTAATATTAATCAATAATTTTATGATATTTTAAAACAGGATTCTGCATCTGTTAATTTTATTGGTCAGCGTTTTGGTTACTTGTAGCGGAAAGAACTCGACAGTGCAATGTGACAGAAACACCAAAGCTCTTTCGTATTTGGATCTTGCAGTCGATATGATTGGAAAAGCGAAAGAAAACTACCCAGATTGTAAGTACTTACCGGTAATCCAGAAGTTTACTTATTGATTTTATCATTAAGGAAGAATGTAAAAATGTATGAGTTGCATAAGAAAATAGCAATATATTCCTAACTAATGTCAAAACTAGTTTAAAATTTCATAACTGAGTACTGATGGCTGAGAATAACTAAAAATCAATATTTTTAAAATAACTACCACTTATAACAACAACATGGAGAACGATATTAACTGCGCAAATATTTATATTTTCATGATCTCATATGCAACATAAAATATTGCTTATTATGTTTTCTTCTCAACATTTGTTGACGAACTTAGTATCTAATATATATAATTCTCTTTCGTGGCTCCCAAATTTTGGCTGTATTTCTTTTCCACCGGTGGCAACGTTTGCTTTGTTTTGTTACACGGCGACAAAAAAGCCTCATTACAAATCCCCGAATGGCAACGCTAGAAAATCGACCAATGATTGCCTCTAAAAATGTCACTTGCCAAATCTAGCTGAGGTGGCTCAACATATTTTGCTTTTATTAACGGAAACTGAAATAACCAGAGAGCATCAGCTGTGGTAATCTCATACTATTAAGCTAGGCAGAAGTGAGTAGTCTTTGTCGATAGATCTCAATTTAAGTATTTTGTCGAAGTTTTTTTCACGAATTTATATATTACGAATTTATTTGACGATTTTTGATTTATATCACGAATTATACTATAGCACATTTCTAATAGGTTTAACGAATTACATGTCATTTATTTGAATTCAAATTTATTTTAATGACTTAGTATTTACTAAAAATATGTAAATTTTTAAAAAAAAAAAGTTTTTATATGGATTTGAATGATTGTTTTGAATTCTTAGAATTTTGTGCATTTGCAATGTACCTAAGTTAGTAGCGAGCAAACCATATAAGATTGCGTAGCAATTTTTGCGGGTTGGCGAGCGTTAGCGAGCAGGGGGCGCAGCCCACTAGTTTATTTTAAAACTCGGGAAAAATAATATATCTTGATTTCTAAGCAAGCAGTTCTTTAATTTTTTTTCAATTGATTTATCAAGTCGTCAATTATTTTTGCTATAAGCAGGTTGTGGTTTGCTCTCACAATCCACATTAATATTTATTTTTCCAGAATCTTTATCAAACTTACAGTCGAAATTACTATTTAAGTGATGAGTGAGAAAAATTATCAATATAAGACGAACTAAAAACGAAACCAATCACTAGAGATTTAGAACTTAAATCATTATAGCCTTTTTGTTTCTCGATTGAAAATAAATAAAGGCGTTTCTATTAATTTTTACCCCTTTTGATCAAATAATAAAATGTATTAGAGGATTTTTTAATCCCACAATAGAAACCAATAGTAGGTAGAAACCGATTTGTAAGATTTTGATAAAGGATTTTCATTACTTAAAGAACCAGTTTGAAACTCCTATCTTATAATGCTATATTTAATGGCTTCCTTAAAAAAAACAGTGATTGTGATATTGATATGTTATTATTAATATATTAATGTATTAAATACATTAGGGGCAGTGATTAAGAAGCAGTTAATTGCAGTTGTTTAAAGCATATCAAATTTGTATACCTATGTTGCCTACTCTTATTTTTGCACATAGTGTTATGAATTTCAACGTATGTGGAAGTTCATAGTTTTTATTAAAAAAAACACATGGTGTCCCAAAATCCCAATTTTTAATGCAAGTTCTTAAAATCCATGTTGTCTAATAATTAAAAAATTATATAATTGGGTTCGTAAATTAATATTTAAATGGAAAAATAAGCAAATAAAAAACATTTTAAAAATTGACGATTACTGTTGAAAACATAAAAACCATTTTGTTTGCCATATTAAAGTTGAGTATGTTTCCAATAACCGTCCTTAATATTCTCAGACAATCAAACAGGTTATGACGTTTTCGATCTCCCCTCTATTGTTGATGATTTGCTAGGTTTTGTTAAAGTTTTTGTTTTTTCGTCTCTAAAATATTAATTTGCGATCGTGAAATTGCAATTACAAGCTTTTTTTAATATAACTTTTTTAAATAGTGTTATTACTTTTTTTTTCCGATGAACTATTAAGAAAATAATTAAATCGTATTCTCATCTATTTTTGATAATGATAATTGTTGATATTTGTATGCGTGTATTTTAGGTCAGGATGCCAAGTCCAATTTATCCTTAAAGCCAATCGATTGTGAAGAATGGTTGTTAATAGGTTATAATAAGAGTGGGTCTTATAAAATTTGGCCCAGAAGTCGAGTATTGAATGCGAAATCAATAGATGTTTATTGTGATATGGAAATTGACGGTGGCGGCTGGACAGTAAGTTTACAACTTACCTCTTTTTCCCTTTTTTTCTAAAGTAAGTTCATAGTTTATTTTCAAAATACCATAATATCTGTCACAGCATCTACTAGTAGATGCTGTTTTCAATACAAATGTAGACAACAAGCTCGAGCTCTTGACCTGTTCTACTACCGGTTAGAAAGTATACAGCTTTTTCTGCGAGGCGATATTTTCAGACAGTTAATTTTGTTTTTTAATAAAATACATAAATTATATAAAATCTGAGCTCAAATCTGGTGTATTTCATTAGATATTAAAGATATTAAGTAATTCTGGTGAGTTTGAAGTAAAAATATGTTTTAGTAGCTTATAGATGTAATGTTAAAAAAGGTGACATGGTTGCTAGATTTAAAGAGAATGCGCTTTTTTTGCACTTCTGATTTGGCCTCTTTTTTACTTGTTTATTGCAATTTGTTCTTGTTGCAAGCCGTGCACCATCATACGCTAGTGTTAGCATATTGTTCGAGAAGCGAGATTAAGTTCATTTTGCAAATTATCGTCTAGGTTTTAATTTTGAAGTTGGTATATTGTTGACAAGGTAAGAAATGTTTCATAACGAAAGAATCAATGAAAAATCAAAATTATGAAAAAATATGACAACCGAAGCTGACGTCTTCAGGGGGTACCAGCTCTGGAAGCCATAAATGTGAAACCCTTTCTATCGAGAGAGCACGACAAGTGTCTAAATTGCTCTCTCTGTACCACAAAGGTTTTGCCAAAGTCTAGGAACAGAATACAATACAAAATATAAAATACATAAAGCAAATACAAAAGTATAAAATTCAGACTAATACATAAGAATAAAAAGCACAAAAACTTACTTGAAACATAAATCCCAAAACCAAGCAGTCTAAAACCAAACTATTGACAGTCAAACAACAAATAAATTGAAATAAACGAAAAAATCCCCCCCCCCCCTAATTTGATGAGCGGAAGGAAGAAAAAAGAGCGAGAAAGTAGTGAATTAATAGAAATACTTAACCGGGGCAACTCAGTCAAGACTTGATCTTGCCCTATTAAAAGAAAAAACGAAACTAATAATTCTCAATCATATTCTTAATTTTGAAATCAATATTACAAAAATTAAAAGGAAAAACATGATTTTCTACAGAGAGAGCAATTTAGACATTTGTCTTGCTCTCTCTATAGAAAAGGTTTTGCATTTATGGTCTCCGGAGCTGGTATAGAAACAGCTTCAGTTGTTATATTTTTTCATAATTTTCATTTTTTCATTGTTTCTTTCGTTTCAATTCCTTTTGGTTTTTCAGCTGCATAGTGCGTTTTTCCACTGGAAGTATTGTTCTTAATTGCTTCAATTAATTTGAATTCTTTTCTTAATATGTGTTTTATAATGATTCTTTTTTTTCAATTGACGATTCTTATAACGATTCTTTTTAACGCAAATAATAAATTGGTTATTAAGTACACGTATGCAGGAAATTTATAATAATATATAAGAAGGTATAAGGAAGCCTCAAACGTTGTGATGGTGATCAAATCACCATCAAGCCATTCCATTGATCATTGCCATCGCCAATGTCATTGATCATTGAATTGATCATTGATCAAGCCATCGCCATTAATCATTGAATTACCATCAAGCCATTTGATCCCCATCACGTTGTGATGGTGACCAAATGTATTCAAAATAGACCGGAAGCAACAACCCGGAAGTAAAGGTAGAGAAAGAACTTGCAAAGTACCCTAGTGTAGAAAACACCATCATATAAAACACAGATATCAGAGTAAGGAAGTATTATACAAGAAAAGGGACAAAAAGTTAACATTCAAAATAATATAGGGAGTTTTGAATTTCTAAAAAACAGACAACGACTGTTATTAGTTTTGGTACTGCTCTTGTTAATTTTGTATTACATTAGATGAGTGAAGAGGCAGTCAGCATAAAATTCATGTTTTATGATTTCCTTATGTTTATCAAGTTGGAAAGAAAATAGATGTTATTGTTTTTCTATCTTTCTTAAATAGGTAATTCAAAGGCGTGGGAATTTCCAGAGACCTAAAGATTACTTTTATCAAGACTGGTCAAGTTACAAAGCAGGATTTGGTCACATAGAAAAAGATTTCTGGTTAGGTACGTAATATCCTTTTCTATATAAAAGTGAAATATCTGAATGCATGTTCGCTAAAAACTCGAGAACGGGAGCATCAATTTGGATTGTGTTTCTTACAACAGTTTGCAAGTTTTTATGTTAGTTCAACAATTTTTATGAGGGTGTTTGTAAACAATCACCTTTTCCCGGTATTATGTGATTCGGGTACAGTATCGAAAGTATGAAATTTCATTAATGAAAAAAATTAAAACGTAAAAAATATATTCATGAAAAAAATTACAGTTTAAGCATTGTTTAAAACGTGCGCCGTCATCGAAACAGCATTTTTATAAAATATTTTTTTAAAAAAATAGAAGAAGGCGGAACCACTAGAAAAAATTAAATACCTTTAAAGCACGCTAAACTCCTAATTTAAGAGCAGAAGTAAAACGTGCTAGAAAAAAATAGGCAAGTTAACATAAGTTATCGAAAATTGAAGAAATATTATATTGCCCAGTCAGTGGTAATGTTAAACCATGGACTATAATTCTTAAGGATGATCTAGAGCCCCTGGGTTTGATTAAATTAGAGCCCTGAATTATGATAGTGTAGGAGCCTTAGATTAAATAGTTATAACTTGCGCACGTTTATTTTCAACTTTTTATTTAATCATAATCATACAATTTTAGAACATTTTTCTTCCTATACTTTTTATCGAATATTTTATTTTTTACTCTTGCTGATAATTTTCCTGATTACTTTACTTATAATTTTCCTTAAAAAAATTCATTTTTCTTTTAAAAATGCCTGTTGAAATGTTACATTAATCACGCTAAGGTTCTTTATTACATTTCAATACTTATAAAGCATAATTATACTGGCGTTGGTAAACGCAAGAAACACACAGTAAGGCTTTTTTTTTTATCTATTGGTAAAATAAGTCTTGGTTTGGATTTGAGGTTGTCCTCACACTTTTCAACTACAATATTCAAGAGTAATAGCGAATCGTGTGCAAGCGTCGTCATTGCATGCGTTGTTATGGTGACCGTTGTTGTTTGATAATTTTTTTAGAATTCTTTTTTTCACTTTTAATTTTGTTATGCATTAAGTTGGTGAGTATATTTTTTGAGATATGGGATCAGAGAGATCCCATAAGTACTTTTTGAGTTGTGAATAAAAGGTCATTTGAACGTCATTGACATCATTTGAACGATATTTTTGTTTTTATTGTTTTAATTAAGAATCTGAAATTCTAACCTACAGTTCAAACTGGATCGTTTTTAATACTAATTCAGGTGAATATCACAAATAAAGAGGGTTCCAAACTGATTGAGTCTGTCCCAAAGGTTAGAGTTGAAGCAAGAAAAAAATAAACGATGCAAAGGCCTAAACTTACCGAGGCTGAAAAAGTCAAAGAACGTAGACGGGAATACCTTAAGCGTTACACACAAACGGAAAAACGAAAGGATTCCGTTCGCAAACGCAAGCGTAAAGCCCGTCCTTCATAAAAATACCAAAGTGGTTGAGAGAATTAAACCCTACAGAAGAGCGAATGGTGGCTCTCCAATCCCCTTTCATGCAAATACGAGAGCTGGGTTTTGATCACCAGTTAGGGATTAAAGGATCCACTCGTACCCAATGACTTGCACGAGACCGTAGACTGCCTTCCTCGCAATATAAATTATTCATTTACCATTCATGAATAATTGAAAAAAAGCCTAGCTTTCAAATCATATTTCATCTATGAACTTGTGAATCGGAAACGGGTGTGTAGATGTAGTATACGATCTCCATCAAACAACATTGTACTAATCCGAAAATGTTAATATTGATCTCGATTCGCTGTTCAGTGTCTACTCAGTCATCAAAAGAATTTACACAGAATCTGTCTGAGCTGCATTTAAATATGCGTGCGAAATTATGTACCGATCAGATTAGGATTAATAGTTGAAGATGTCCATGATGAAAGCACAATAAAATTGCTTTGCCAAGAAAAAATTAGACAACAACCATTTTGCCAATGGGTAACCTGTGATCGCCTTGCGGTGATCAAAATTTTTTTTTCTTCGAATGATTAGAATCTAGTATTATTATTGTATTCCTCATTATTACTAAAATTTAATTCATTAAGAACTCAGATAATATTACGTATATCTTTTGAAAATAGTTCAAATTGCAAAGTCGTGGGATGATGAAAAGATGAAGGCATAGATGATGAAAAAATTTGTTTAAAACTAATTAATTGGCTAGGATTGGAAGAAGGGTTGAAAAATTAAAATATTAAAATGCTGTGGCGTGCATTCGGTTTGATTACAAATAAAGTTTATATGTTATAAAAAATAATTTTGAAAGCTGATTAAGCTGGTCCTGAAGGCGGCTAGTAATAAAATAAAAAACGTTGTTTTCCACTTTACTTAAAAGGAAGCCTTATTTCGCTAAATTACTGTTTACTATCTGTAAAAATTTGTAGTGGCAGTAACTTATAAATTGTTTTTAAACTTTCAGATTAATAAATTATTTTTAAACTATACTTAAACATTCAATTTTCAAAAATTTATTAAGTATTGTAGTAAAAAGTATTTAAAATTATACAAATTAACTTTCGAATAAATATGAACAAACTCTGAAAGTGCGTACACATTTTTCTTAGTTAATGGCATCCAGCCATGTGATTGGTAACGCAGGTTTCTTTGAGATAAGATGAAATAATACGTATCCTAGTATAGTAAGTATATATAAAATGTTTGAGCTTTAGACATCACTTTTAGACTAAGTTACTAAATTTTTCAAACAGGGAATAAAATTTTTTTACGATTTTATTATTTTTTAACTATCTTTTTACAAATGAACATTATTTCTACTAACCACCGTCTTCTGCAGTAGGATTTAGGGAATCATGCAGTTGCAAGTTTTTAAATGTTTTCCATCATGTCCGTCAATGAGGTTTGAATGTTAGTTTAAATATTGGTATATTAATGTAACGAAAACATATTGGTAAACACAAAAAGTTTGTCTTTTTTATTAAATAATTNAATTATGGGCCGAGTTTCGTGCCTGGGCGAGGCTTCTGGGGCGATATATTGTGATTACAGACACATACACACACAGCCGCGTTTATTATTATGTATAGATGTATAGATTAAGAATTTCAACTCAGTTAAGAGGCAGTAATTCATAAAACCACTATGGGCTAAAACTGAGCTGCAAGCTACAAACCACAGGTTGCTGATTCCTAATCGAGAATATGGCAAATTTAACGTGCGTGTCAGCCTAATATCAGAAAGCACCAGGTTTAATATCAGGGATAGTGTATAATATTTAACCTTCAAAGTATTAAATCCAAAAAATTTTGCTTCCAGACAACATTTTTAATTATGCTGAAAGTTTATCTAATTCATTTATAATTATAATTTTTTTTAACTTTCTTATAAAATCTAAATCAGTTGATGATCAGTTAACTGAAACTCTATTTGATTAAAACGAACCCATAAAGCCTATATAACGACTTTGAAATATAACTCTATAAGAAATTTAGTAATAATATGTAATTTGCATTATGATTTTTTTACGAAAAAAAAACACCAAGAGAGTTTAAAATATTTATTTTATATGGAAATGAGGCTTACATTTAATATTCATGGAGGTTTCATACAATATCTAATCGAATAAAAACATTGCAGGTAATGACAAAATATTTGCTTTAACCAATCAAAAACTCTCTTCAGTACGTTTCGATCTAAAAGACGTGGAAGGAGCTAAGAAATACGCTCTGTATGACATATTTTGGATTGATGATGAGATTCAGAAGTATACGTTACACATACAAGACTACAGTGGTGACGCTGGTGAGCTTCTAACTTGGTTTCATTCAGTATTTTTAGTTCATAAATGAATTTTTTATATTACCTTCAATCTTACTCTACCCACTATTTACGAAAAATAAGCATTTAATTTTATAACCGGCTTTGAAAAGCTGACTCCCTAGCCTTATAATTTTGAAACTAATCCAGAAGACAAAGGAACTTTTGAATTAAGCATTGGGACAAACTAGACTTTTCGTTGGAACTAACACGCATCTGCTCTACATGGAAAGGAAAAGCTCGAAAACTACCCATGGTTAGCCTGGTGGCAAGGGGAATCTATAACCACTGACGATATTCAGCAATGTGGTCTGTGCGAGATGGGAGCAGAATTCGTATCCATCACCCACACTGGATTGAAACCTGGGTCCACTCAGGGAAATTAAACATTTGTCATACTTCAATATTTATTCTTTTGTATATTTAAAATATCTCTTAATAATTTTTAGAACCTCCGAGGCTTGGTTGCCCATCTTACCCTTACCGGTCTTCTTGAAGCAGTACCACCCTTGACGCTGCCAACAATCATGCATAGTAGCCGCAATGGCTCAGGGGATAGAGCGTTCGACTTCCAATGAGGTGAACCGGGTTCGAATCCCAGTGATGGCATGTCGATGCGAACCCGCATCCGGCTTGCACTGACCACAGTGCTCACATAAAATATCCTCAGTAGTAGACGGATCACGGTTAGAGTCCCTTTGTCGTCAGGTTAACCATGGGAGGTTCTCGTGGTTTTCCTCTCCATGTATTGCAAATGCGGGTTAGTTCCATCAAAAAGTTCTTCAGGAAGGCAAATTTCTCCCGATACTTGATCCAGGAGTTCCCTCGTCTTCTGGATTGGATTCAAAATCACAAGGCTACGGACTTAAAAAATAGTAGTCGTAAACTCCCCAAAAAATTGGGTTGGCTGCTCAACAAAGGTTATAGAATAAAATAAAATCTTGCACACTGGATACATTTCTCCCCAGTCTTTCTGCAATATCGCGAAAAGACAATTCACCTTCTCGCAGCCCTGTTGCACGATCTCAAAAAATCCTTCAATAGCATTAAAAAAAAAGAAAATTCATATAACAAATAAAGTAAAATTGTACATTATACCGGAATGACCTAAATTATGACTTGTTTATTTAGAAAGCATTTTCAAACTTAAAAACATATGTATAGAAATGTAATCTTTCCTTCAATACGAGCAGGATTTAATCAAAATACAGATGATTGAAATATGCGTAATTAATGAAAGATTTAGATGCAACACATTTCTTATCACTTGCATCAATTAAAAAAATATTATTTCCTTATTGGAGTTTAAAAAAATTGACAAACAATTATAAATGAAAACTATTGCCGTTACCAGTTTAAAATTATTTGCATATTTATCTCTAAACGTTTAGAAAAGTGAGTGAGCATAAATAGCAAGCGTAAATTTTCAGGATGGAACTGATAAATTTGATTTACTAATTTGACCAACAGAAGTAAAGGAACTTGATCTTAATATTGTTCTAAATGTGAATATCCGACACACGCCATGTGTCAGTTGTAAGTAGCAAACATCACCGTGATATTATTTCTGATTATGCATCTACATTTCGAGAAGAAAAAGATCATTGAAATCAGCTGGTTATGTGCAAACAAAATGGTGTGTTATTGTCATAGCTATTAGTTTTGTTTAATTATCACACTGAATCAATTTTATGCATCATATTTAAATGAGGCTCTTGAAGCAAACTTGATTAGTTACTGTATCGTGACATACATCTAGATCTAGAGTTATTCAGAATAATATCTTAAATCTGCCTTATCAGAAAATCTGCCTTAACACCTACGTGAAAAAGTTACTTGCAGGTACTCAATTGGATGTTTGCAACCGACGTCATGGGTGGCTCAGTCAATAAAGTTCGACACGCATGCGTGACGTTGCTTGAAGATATCCAATTAAATCTGGTTTGAAAATTGATTCAATGTGATACTAAACTTAAGCTTCAAAGCTGTAACGTTAACACGTCGTGCTCAATCATCTGATTTAAATCAGCCATCTTGTAATTAGCTGCAAGTAACCTATCAAGATAAGCTTTTCTGATCTAAATTCATTCTTAAAAGAAAACGAATAGGATTACTTTCTTAATAATTATAGTTGAGCTTTTTTTTATATTAAAGAGAAATATTGATGCTTACATTAACTTTATTTTGTACTGCTTTACTGTTTTCATAACTTTAAGCGTACAAGCTTGCAATTCGAGAAATATCGAAATGCCTGACAGTTTTGAAACATGCACTAGACACGGATTGCGAAGCGATATGAAAGAAACTGTGACAAGCACAGGGTACAGTAGATTCCTTATGACTCATAAATGTCATTTATCATAACATATATTAATGAGAAACAATAATCTGATCTAGAGTTATAAGCTATTGGGATAAATTTATGAAAAAACATCATTTCTCAAAACCTCAAAATAAACTCTATGATAAACGTGGTTCTGGAAAAAATATTTAAAGTAACAAAAGCCCATTTGCTTAAATAAGTTTTTTGAGCTGCGTCCATTGTCTTGAACACACAGTTTGAACTATCTTGTTCATTTTTTTAAATGCACATTTTAAGCTATATCCATTTCCATAAATATGCACTCTGAGCTATGTTCAAAATAAGAATCTCACTGATGAATTATTTATTTAGTGCAAATTTTTACTCTATGTTCTTGCCATGTAGCAAACTAATTTTGTTTAATACTTTATCAACTATAAAATAAAAGAAATTTTCTCGACCTTTAATTATTTTCTAGGGGATTCAATGTCAGGACACACTAATATGAAATTTTCCACTAAAGATGCAGACAATGATATTCAAACAGAACAACACTGTTCCCAAATTTACAAGGGCGGATGGTGGTATAGTGCTTGCCACACAGCGAATTTGAACGGACTCTATCTCCGAGGAAAACACGACAGTTTTGCTGATGGTGTGAATTGGAAAAGTTGGAAGGATTACCACGAATCCTTAGACACAACTGAAATTAAAATAAGGTCAAAGAACTTCAAGCAAAAACCTGCTGTTACACCTGAATTCACTGAAACTCCAAGATCATGATGATTAAAAAAGAAAAAAATATTTAAATGTCAAAAACTTTGCTCTTTGCTCAAGTTTTTATTAAATAAGACACTGCAACAATTTTTTTATGTTTTTACTGCTTTTTAGATAAAATTAAGTGATTCTGTATAAACTAAAGGTGCCCGATTCGTATATAAAAACCAAAATGATCACACTCGGATTATTCTTGTAGAAGAAAAGATGCCAAGCTTTTTGTGAATTCCCGGATGTCTGCCTTCCTAATGCATTTAAACCTAACCTCGAAACTTGGGGAAGGTAGATCAGGTTTTCCTTGCCAAAAATGTCACCAAAATGGCTACCTTCAGTTCATGAGAATACCTTTCTTTGCCTGTACATTTTCATTAGAGAGATTTCGCAAAGCGTTATGGTTCCCTTTATCTCTAACGTTAACGCTATTTGAGCGTCACAGCGCATGTGTGAAAATTTACCAACAAAGAGCATCATTGCTAAGGAGTAGAAAATGGAGTTAACGATTGTTTAGCTCTATGCAAAATCTCTCTACTGCATGCTGTTAAAATATTTAAAATTGCCAAATTGAAAAGTAAATTTTTTGAGAAAATAAATCAAAAAAATACAGATTCATTACTTTCACCCAAAAATATGCATGGGATTAAGAATATTTTCATCTAAAGTAAATTTTTCATGTAGTGGGTAAAAATCAACGATTAAAATTTATTAGAATAAATTATTGATTTTGAAATACTTTCCACATGCAGTCCAAGAAAAATATGCAAAAAATGTCGTGCATCTTATTATTACTGCATGTAAAGAAAAGAAATATACGTAAATGTAAAGAGATTTCGTACTTGTCGGTAGCATTCTACGCTTTAACGTACCCATTTTCTGTGCATGCAATAAACATTAATTTTTTATCACTGTGCTACGCAGTACTCAGGTTTTTGAGGTCGCACAATAGTATTTGAAAATGTAAATGTTGTTTGTAAGACGACGGGACGTTTCTTACAAAGCCTAAAAAAGGGTAGCAATAAGGCTCTTCACTTGATGTTTGGTTTACACTTAAAAGCTTTGCATTGTCATCATAATTATTTACGTTTCCATAGTCATCAGTTATAAATATCAAAAAAGTCGCAGTCATAGTCTCATAGAGAAAGCATTCTTTCAAGCTCCATTTTGTTACTAATTATACAATTACTTGTTAATCTTAACTAATCAAGGTGATTGTATGATTGGATTACTGCAAAATCGAATTCGAAGGAAATTCGAATATAAAAAGACAAAACCGAAATATGCGAATGCATACTTATTAAAACTTGCTTATCTCCTATCTAATTTTTTAATATTTTTTGCAATATTTATATCAATCGTGGCACAAAAAGATCTCATGTATTCTAATATATGACGATCCTTATTCGCATGAAAATACCGACGCAAGGCTGAATATTTTTTAACTATTTGTTTTTCTGATCACGCAAATGACAAGTCGTTTTTCTTTTCTTGTTTTTTCCACAAAATGACGCTCATTCACTTGAATTTGCATTTTTAATATTTTGAATTACGGCTTTGAACGTTTTCGTTTGTGGCGTGTCAATTACTTCCCGAATTTTAGATAATCGTTTATTCTTCTAAGTTTATCTCGAGTTCTATTAGAATGTTACAGAAATTACAAAATGCACAGATTTTTTTCATAATGTTTATCTTTTTTTATTTTCGGATATTAAAATGCGATTTTTATTTTGTGATCTGCAAATCTCACGTTTGAATCACAGGGATATTTTGTAACACAATTTTGTTTTAAATCTGATTACCCAAATAGTTACACTAACAAGGAGCTGGTATCCACCTATGTCTGCCTTATTATCATTATTTTTTTTTTTAAGAAATGATTAAACAAATATACAATTTTAAACGTATTAGAGTGCTTACGTATTATCCCAGTAACCATTTTTATCAAATCTGAAAATAAATTTAGAAATGGTTCAACTTTAAATATTATCTCGTTTTTGCATCCCATTTTTTAAAAAAATAAGTTATATTTATATTTTACGATTTTTTATAATAAATTATTGTATTAAAATAAATTTGAACGATACCAAAATGACTCTGCCACGAAGGGGGCGAAAATGGTCGATGCGACAATACGTAAGTACCAATATTAGATTAAATTAATCTTTTTAAAATTATGAGTAATGCTTATTTTTGCACATTGGTAGTTTTTTAATTATTTTTTTTTGCGTTTAAGAATATATTTTTAAAAGACTACTAAAAGAACTAAACAATAACAAGTCTTTTAGGATTCTAAACATACTCTGTTTCATGATCTCAAACAGTGTTTTACTTTTTTTTAAATTTTATCATAGGCATTGTGCAGATGATCTAGATTAAAATATATTTATTAAAAAAATTGCTTATTCTAAAGACATTAAATTAAAACGTAAAACAGCCCGCTTTGTACTAAGTGAACATTTTTAATCACAGACGGGAAGAAAGTGGACCCTACTTAAAAAAAATCAATGGGAACAACTTTTAAAAATAATGTTGCATTTACTTTAGATACCTAGATACTTGTTTAAAAAATTATCGTATATTTATCAATCATTATCAATAATTTATCTAAGACTTTAACCATTTATGTCAGCTAATTTACTCTAGATTTTAATAAAAGTAAGTTTTTCGATGTTTTGGAATGCATTTCATCTAAAAAAAACTCTAAACACAGTATTGTAAAAAACTTCTAACATCATCTAAAAAAACTCTCAGGAGATAAAGCGTTCGCATTCCAATGAGGTGAACCGGGCTCGAATCCTAGAGATGGCTGGTAGATACGAATTCTGCACCCGGCTCGCACCGACCCAGTGCTGATGTAAAATATCCTCAGTGGTAGACGGATCTAATTAGGTTAGAGTCCCCTTGCCGTCCGGCTACCCATGAGAAGTTTTCGTGGTTTTCCTTTGCATACAACGTAAGTGAGGATTAGTTCCGTCAAAAAGTCCTCCACAAAAAAAAAAAAAATTCTCTTAATACTTGATCCAGGAGTGCCCTTGTTTTCTGGATTCGGTTTAAAATTGCAATGACACGGAGTTGAACATTGGTAGTCGTAAATCCAAAATTAGGTCGGTTATAAAAAAAGAACATAGTATTACTTTGGAAATAAGGTAAGGATTCGCTGAATGCATTGATGATGCACAAATAAAAAATATTTGGCTTCACGAGTGCATTTGAAATCATGAAAACTTTTTCTTTTTACAAATCCTGTATATGTGTGACATCAATTCCAAGGATTTGAATAATTGAATCGCTTTTTAATTAAGTTTTTAACTCATTTGAACTTATAATTTTGAAATGAAATGTTCCAAAATTACGCAATGAATAAAAACGCTTAATTATAATTGCACCGTAAGCAAGAGATGTTTACATTTTTTCTTACTTAACATAAACGTATTTATTTTCGTACGCAATAGTCTGATTTAAGAGGAAGAAATATTTCTAGATATTAGTCATCATCAAAATATGAATGACTGGAAATTTTTGTTTAATTAAAGGGAATGATATAAGTTTACTTAAACCCATACTTTGGAATTATGAAACTATTAAAAATCGTGACGGGCAATTTTCTTCAAAAAACTGTAAAGTAAGACACGTCTAATCATTTGCTAAGTTGATCTTGAAAGTAAATGGTTTGGGAAACAGTGAAAAAAGAGGTAAGTAAAATCTTTTTAATTCGATTTGTAAGAGTAAAAACGTTTTAATGTCAATATTGTTGGTGTTTATAGTTTATTTAGTAGCTCTTTTAATTTGTAAAAAATTATATAATTTGAAATTTAATTTACTACACTGTGCTGCATAAAAAAGTTCTGTTACCATTTATGCTACTTTTTATGTAACTTGACCTCTTATATACGATTATAGCCCCAGTTTTTTTCCATTCTCCACCATTTCCTGGGAACATCCTTCCCCTTTATTTAAAAATTTCTTGTACTTTTATGACCATAAATTTGATTTAAAGGAAAGGGAAAGGATAAATTTAGTGACGTGCTCAATGGATTTTTCAAATAAAACGAAACAAGATTTTTTGCAATATTTTAATTACTGTAAATTATTATTCTTTCGAATAACAGAAATTATTTTCATTTACTGAAAATCATTTATATTAAGAATTCAAAAAAAGAATCTCCTTTTCACACAATTTTTCTTATTTTATCAATTTAAATTTAAATAATGAATATTAAAGTTAAGTGAAGCATTCCCGCAAGAGTCCATTATGGGGAGGAGGGTCATGGTGGCTCTACAATTTTGTGACGTCAACGGCATGATTGTGGCAACGTGGTCAGCACTGCACACAGGTCGCTTTAACTTGTCAGACAAATTGGTACACATTGATCTAAAGCTGGGTAGGCTTCAAGCCGCCACTGGGGATCGAACTCTAGTTGCAGTTTAGTGTTTTAACTATTGAGCCATAGCGGTTCAAATAATGAATTTTACTTGTCCCGTTAGCTCATTAAAGAAGTTTTAATCTTATTTCTCTTTCGCTAATTTACATCTTACACTATTCATACATAAACTTTAGAATAATCAAGAAAGGAACTGTAACTAAAACAGTTTTCAAAACAGAAATTCTATTTTGTTTGCTTCTAAAAAGTTCTGGAAGGGCCTAAAGCTTACTACAGGACTACATCAAAATTAGTAAGATAGCTTATAATTTAGCAAAGAGGGACAAAATATTTCATTTGAAGGTTCAAATCGAAGCAAAAATAAAAACGAAAGTAAAAGTGCTAAAAAGAATAATAAATTAAAAATAAAAGAGATAGAGGAGAGAAAATGTGGGATTAAGAATATAACAATAATTTGTACAGTTAAATTTTTTATGAGGGGCAAGAGATATAAAAAACATGAACAGTTGAGGATTTTTTCTCCTTTTAATTTGTAATTTTATTATTATTATTATAATTTTTTTACAAATGAACTTTTTTTCTGCGATATGTTCTCGCGATTTTTGTAATTTATTTCATATGTTGAAATTTGAATCTTCAAATAACAAAAATATTTAGCCAGCAATATTGGATAAAAACGGGTGGAGGGGAAAACTTAGAATGCTGTTTCACAGTGTATTTTCCCAACTTCCTTGAGAGAGTGTCAAGACCTTTTCTAAAAGGAAAAATTATTATTTTAACCGTTATATTTTTTACGAGGGCTTAGAGAGGCATTGATATTTAATACATGAAAAGCTGTTGAAATTAGGGGTTGTTTTCTTGCTTAATTCATAATGAAATATTGAAAGTTATAAATTTTTTCTAGTTTTTTTCCTCGCAATTTTTGAAAGTATTTCAAGTATCGAATGATTTTCAAATTTCTAAACAAACATTTTCTCCCTAAACAGTAAAAATATTCATAACATTTGTCAATTAGTGTATTATTTGTTAATAGTGTAATTAACTTAAGTGTTAATTGCTCTAATTAACATTTCAGTACCAAATATAATTTCTAAAAAATATATAACAATTTCTGATTGAAGTTTAACATGTTTAGAATAAATGAATTTCTTTCATCATTCTTCATCTTTATTTTCATTTAAATCTTAAGTAATAACCATATAATAAGCAAATTTTTCATTCACATTTGACAAGGATTCTAAAAATATTAGTTAAGTTTCGTGATTTCGTGATTAAGTTTCGGCACGCTGTCTCTCAAAATAATGCTCTCTGACCCATAGCATTGATTTTTCTAAAATAATTAACCCGTGATAATATTCAACGTGTCTTACCAATGAAAGAGCCTACATTTTAAAAATTCTGGATCAAATTACGACAAAAGCACTGTCACCCTGAGTGCAATATCAGTAAAATCAGTTTTTTTCGTAAAATTTTTTATCGCAATTTTTACAGTAACATTTATTAAATTACAGTGATTTAGACTGAAAAAATTAGGATCTGGTATATAAACTTTTTTGTTTCGTAAAATTTTACAGTAAAAATGCATTCTACGGTAAAAAGTACTGGCATCTTGATTGTCGGTACTTTTTTTAAAAATTTTATCCAGAATTTTTTGCAATGTACTTCGATGCAGCATTTTGAAGTAATATAAATAAGAGTTTTGTACTCATGTTTTTGAAAATTTTCATGAGAGTTTTGTACTTTTGTTGTTTTTTTGTTGAAAACTGAATTTTGATATGAATGTCACGACTATTCTTATTTGAAATTTCACTGACTTAGAATATTTACTTATTTACTTTGCATTCTATCTGCAACGATTTCAAAATTGATGCCTTTATTTTCAATGTCTACTTATTGTAGGCCTTTTCTTTTTACAGATGACAATCACCAGAATTTTATTAGCGGTAGTGGCGATACTTCTGTGCATTTACTTGGCTTTTGGACTTCCCCACGGAACTGAAAACGTTAAAGAGAATAATGAACAGGGGCTTGAGATGCTAAATTGGGTTCGTGAATATTTAGAGAGAAACGCATCTCAACCAACACATCCTCAAGCACTTAACAGCTCCATTCCCACGAGCACCTCTAAACCTCGCAAATTCTATTCTATTGCCCCTCCAATCAAAAAACCTGAGGATGAAACCCAAAACACAAAACATAATAATTTAAATGTTGGCAACAATACTCATACCACATCGTCACCTCATTCGATAAATGCAAACACGAACTCCTCGGAACCAGAGCTAGATCTTATTTTTGTATTTGACGTCAAAGACCAATCAGAACACAAAGATGAACCAGAACACAGAGATCAATCAGAATACAAAGATCAATCAGAATACAAAGATCAATCAGAATACAAAGACACGATACTTGATGTAAAAAATAGAGGTACAAAGCACGTTGATAAAATAATGCTAAATCATGTGATTTTCTCTAAAACGGTCCGAGTGAGTAAAGTGGAAGAAGTGTTCGAAGATCTAGTAGCTCAAAATGTCAGACGCATCATAAAAGAAGACAGGGCAGAAAAAATAGAAATATCAAGAAATAAAGAAACGGAAACGATAGGAGATGAATTTGGTATTAAAGATCTTCTTTCGCTATAGATTGAAAAATATTTTGTATAATTTAAAGCATATTTAAATGCTAAATAATGCACTTATAGCCCACGTGCTCATTAGACTTTATCTGTACTTGTTTTCTAGAAATAAATCCTAAAAGTTAATTCATGTATTTAAATTATTGTTTATAATTTTAAAAAAAACCTGAAGTCTTGCATTTTCTGGTGTTTTTATTGAGGTAACATACTTTGTTTTCTCAATATTAATTATTTATCATTCTTAAAAGTTTGAAAATGGAATAAAATTCTTGTATACACATTTTAAGCCTTTTTGCAACATATTCTTCATAATATTCTAGAGTTTCAACGTGTGTTGCAGTCAAGACAGTTTGGTAACAACATAATCAACAATTCAAAAAACTTCTTATATGTTTAATTATTTGGAATTTTTAAACACTTTGATATTCTAATACTATTAAAAAGATCGATTTCACCGTACAAATGTAACAAGTCAATTCCGATTTGTACCGATTTATGGTAATATGGTTTAACGGTTATTTTTATTATTATTATTACTTTTTTGTAATAGGGTTTGATACGAATGCAAAAAACGAGCACGCCGTCGACCACTTTAATTGTAATGTTTTAAGAATTCGAGGTGATTGTTTTAAAAGTTTTGATTTTGCTAAGTTTTACTGTTAGTTTCTTTCAAAGAATATGTCCAACTTCATACAGCATATAGGTGCAATTAAAAAAATAGCATGATTTTGGACAAAGTTAGTAAATATATTTTCGATATATATTTAAATATTCGATATATATATTTATTTATTTGATATATATTAAGTTTAAATATTTATAAATAATTCAGGGAAATTTATGAATAACGTCATGATAAGTAAAACAACATTTAAAATTAAATTATTTTTAATAAAGAATTGTATCAAAACAGAAGTTACAGACATAGAGTTAAAAATGACATTAGTATTTTGAATGTTCAGCTTTGAATTAAAATATTAACTATTCAGCTAATAAAGAGTTCATCTTGTATCTTTTTCATGCAGTATTTTACAAAGTAAGATTAGAGAACTATTGAAATTTGTACATAGAGTTAGGTTAACTTTTAGTTATACACATTCACATTTCCGTCTGGCAACTCCCGTGCAAAATCCTGCAACTTTACCTTGTGATCTACAATTCAAAACACATAGTGCAATATTTGGACATGAAGTCGGTGGGAAGGCATGAGCAGGTGGTGGAGCATGAGCAGGTGGTTGAACGGGTACAGGTGGTGATGGCCTGCGATAATTAGTTACAGGAGGTTGAATTTGAGGAGGCAATGCTGGAACCGGAGGGAGGCCACCGCTAAAGCAGTTGCACAATTCATTTCTAGGTCCTAAGCATATACCGTTATTGAGACCTCGGCTTTGACAAAATGCTAGACAAAGGGATTTTATTGGACATCCTCCTCTTACTGTATTTGGGGATAATAATCCTCCAACTGGCAGTGGACCTCCTACAGGAGCTGGCAGTGAACCTCCTATAGGAGCTGGCAGTGAACCTCCTGGAGGACCTGGTAATGGTCTAGGCGGAGTAGCAGAACTAAAGCAATTGCAGAGTTCACTCTTTGGTCCTAAGCATATGCCACTATTAAATCCTCTTCCTTGACAAAAGGCAAGGCACAAAGATCTTACTGGGCATCCTCCCCTGATAGTTGTTGGAGACAGAAGGGAGTCAGATGCCTCACGTGGTCTGTTCTGGCACTGGCAATTTAATCTTTGGGGACCGATGCACTGACCAGATGAAAAACCTCGTTTTGTGCAACTTCTGAAGCATTTAATGAGATTTGGGCAGCCCTCTGTACCACCACTTGTTGGAACTGCGTCCGTAATCGGACTCGGAGCTTTGCAGATGTAGCATTGACAATGTTTTTTATTAGGTCCAGTACATATGCCATCGAAATTGGGACTTTCCTGTTGGCAATTTTTTTTGCATTGTATTTCGTCCGGACATCCTTTTTTGTTATTCTCCCACGACAATAATCTTGAGACTTCTGGATCAGGTTTTAATGAAATTCTGCCAGGTGATCCTAAAACAAATATTTAATTTATATTAATTGAACATGTAGTTAAGTTTTATTTTCTTTTCCAAAAGGTTTAGACTATAAACATATTTCTTAAAACTAATTTCTTAAATATAACCTTATGACCAATAGAGTAAATTCAGACATTAAATTGTGTATAAATGTAATAATGCAGCAAATAGTGACAAAATTTAATAAGATTCTGAATACAAGATTTCGAATATAACTTTTAAAGGAAAATGTAGGCATAATTGTTTTGTTATTACCATTACATTATAATATTTTGAATGTAAAAAGTTTTCATAAAATAACGCGTTATAGTTTCCTAAGAACAAAGGATAGCAAGGAAGAAGTATACTACAGTTTAAATAGAAGTTGAACAGCAATGTAAAAGAGCACAAAACTTTCAATAAACTGATATGATCGATAATTTTGGTACTAGAACAAGTACCATCAGCAGATCCGAATCACTTAATTTTACTCTATTCTTTCTCAGCATTAATTATGGTATGTTCTGTCATCATAGCCACGATCGTCTGTTTTAGTTAACTATATAATGAGGGCTCTTGAACGTTTTTTTAAATTTTATTTGATAGCGTGCTCTAATGTAGCCAATAAGTACCCCTTATATTTAATAATGCACTGTTAATAATTGTGTTTCAATGTATTTAATGCTAACTTTTACAGATAAATAGCTGAATACCCATTCATCGTAAAGGGTCAAAAAAATGTCTGCACCATGTTCGGTGCTAGCCGGAAACAAAATTCGTACCGACCAGCCAACCCTGGGATTCAAATCTGGGTCACCTCATTGGGAGGCGAATCGGCTTCTTGCTAATAATTTTCTGTTTTGTAACAATTTTTGAGCAGTCGATCCCATTTTGAGCTTACGACTACCAAATGTTCAACTCCGTAGCCTTGTAATTTTGAGCACAATCCAGAAGACGAGGGAGCTCCTGGATCAAGTATTGGTAGAAATTTTGCCTCAGTGGTGTTTTTTTTTATGAAACTTATTCGCAGTTGCGTTACACGTAGAGAGAAATCGCGGAAACCTCCCAGGGTCAGCCTAATGGCAAGGGCACTCCCATGGTCCTTCCACCACTGAAGATATTTTATGTCACTGTGCTCGATACGAGCCAGATGCGGAATTCGCTGCCATTCACTGTCAGCCATCGCTTGGATTCGAACCCGGTTCAACTCATTGGGTGACAAATGCTAAATCCCTTGAGCCACAGTGGGTGAAAACTCCAATTACTGTTCTTTAGTTACAATGAAAACTTTTATTTAGTAATCAGCAAAAATTAATAGAAAATTACCTACATAGCGCTTTGCACAAACAGCATGATTGTGTAAACGGTGACTAACACAAAATGTTTCCATTTGAAAAAAAAAAAAAACATTCAACTTGAAAATTTAATGTTTTACGTAATAATTATGTAAATGGTTTTAAAACAAAATATGTACACTTTACATATTTCCTTCAATACTGTACATGAATATTGCACAATTGTTACGAAGAATTAAGTTTTTTTCTCCTCACATTTTTGACAATAATTGCTATATTATTATATTTAAAATAATTATATTAAAAAAAAATTCTGTTTAAATATTTTTACGTTAAGTTGAACCTACATTTTGTGAGATTAAAAAATACAAGTTAGAGTCATTTGATTTTAAAAAAATTTAAATAGAGCTCAATATCTTCAATCAAATGATTTTAATCAAATTGAACTCTGAATTTAAAAAAAGTCGTTCTCTGATAAATGGGATTTTTTTAATTATCTAATTTCAACATGCAAAATTAAATTTTTCAAAACTTGTTTTCATCTTAATTTCTAACGTTTTAAACATTATGCGCAAGAAACCTTTTATATTATCTACAATTTTTCGATATTCGACTTAAAGCAATTGTAGATCCCCTTTTTACCATAAGTTCCTATGAAGAAATAATCTAAATAAAACTAATAATAATTTCGTCAAATGTTATTAGTAAAATTCAAATAATAATTATAAAAGTGAAAAATGCGAAATTTGAGCAATTGTACAAAAAATGCTGAATAAATGTTTGAGCAGTTTTAGTTCCAATCAGTTCAAAATGGAATCCCTCATAAGATCCCCCATAAAAATTATACTTATTGTCAGATATTTTATGAAAAACCCAAAGTTTTTGTAATATTCTAAACTTCTAAATTCTAATATTTCTATAAAAAGAAACAGTTATGACCCGAGGTCTGCGAATATGTAATATTTTTAGGAGATAGAACCAATTTGTTAGGTATAAGTATTTTATGGTTTGAAAAGAAATGTAACGTTTTTTTTTTATCTAAGTTTAAATTTTACCAAACTTTTAGGTGCCAGCTACGATTGTTTACGAGTTTAGATGATAGAGTCAAAAGATTTGTAGAGCACTGGTTAGGACTTATTTTTATCCTATAATGTTTGGAATTTGAGATATCACACATATAGTTAAAATAAATGATATTATAACAGATGAAATATTAAAACTCCCAAAGCATTTTGTACAAGCAACAAATTAACGTCCGAAAAATCAAAAAGTAGGCTATTCAAAAAGTATGCTAATTCAAAAAGTATGCTAATTCAAAAAGTAAGCAAATTCAAAAAATATACTAAATACGAAATAAATATGTATCTATGAGATATGTTTGATTCTAAAATGATGATAAAATCTTTTTATCTTTTATTACAAATTCATCAATAGACTGGAGTTATATTTAATTTTGTCCAAGTAACAAACGTATTAAGTTATTAGTTTCTTATTTGGAAAATTACTTTATATTTTTAGAATATTTACTAAACGTGCAAACATAACTTCTGTTTATCATTAAAAATGATATTTTATTTGGCATTGAAAACCTTGAGATAGTTTAATCCAATCTTTTTAAAATTAAAAATGGGTTGTTCATATTTTACCCCTACTATAGATAATTTCAATAATATAATCTGAGTCGTGATTTCTCAGTGGACAGAGCATTCTCTCCATAAAACGCAAATGCGGGTTAGTTCCATCAAAAAGTTATCCACGACGGAAAATTTCTCCAAATACTTGATCCAGGTGTTCTCTTGTCTTCTGGATTGGGTTCAAAATTGCAAGACTACGGAGTTGAACATTAGTAATCGTACACCCAAAAAATTGGGTCGGCGGTTCAACGACGGTTATAAAATAAAATAATATAATCTAAGAGTTGTGGTAGCTCACGGAATAGAGAGTTCGCCTTTCAATGAGGTGAACCGGGCTCAAATTCCATCGATGGTTGGTCGCTACGAATTCCGCACCCAGCTCGCACCGACATCAGTGCTGACGGTAAATATAATTAGTGGTGGACAGTTCATGGGTTAAAGTCGCCTTTCCGTCGGGTTTACCATGGGAGGTGTCCGTGGTTTTCCTTTTAATTTAACGCAAATGCGGCTTAGTTCCATCAAAAAGTCCTTCTCAAAAGCAAAGTTTCTCTCACTACTTGATCCAGGAGTTCCCTTTTCCTCTGAATTAAGTTCAAAATTACAATTACGGAGTTGAACATTGGTAATCGTAATCGTAAATTCAATAATCGTAATCGTAAATCCAAAATTGGGTCGGCTGTTCAACGATGGTTATAAAATGAAGTAATATAATCTAAAAATATCACCGAGTATGTGAAATTCAACAATGAAATTTTTCTGAAACTCCAAATGTATTACTCAGATCTTATCTACATTTCTAATAATTTCAGTTTTATCAGTAATATAGGTATAATCAGTAACAAATTACTGATAATCTCAGCGTTGTCATTAATATAGGTATTATTAGTAAAATCTATATAATATACTCTAGTACTGATAATTTCAGTAATATACTTTAAAGCTCATTGAAGATGCGAAAAATTGATTTTTGCAACCATTAAATTAGAATTTAATTCTAAAAGTTTTTTTTAAAGACAAATAACAAAAGAATTTTTTTCAAGAAATGAAAGAAATTTTAAAATTAAAATTTAATTTATACCTGTACAAAACTGTTTCGGAATGCAGTTGAAGTTGCTGTCTCTTGAATAACCTGGTAAACATTGGCATCCTGGTATGCACCACTCTGGACATATCTGATCACCATCGCATGTATTGCATGTATCTTCACATTCGGAGGGGACTTCATTGGATGGACATTGCCCATTTGCTATTGATAACCCTAGGAACAAAATATTTTTCTAATAAAATTAGAAACTATCATGTCTTAAAAAAATTTTACATTAGCGTCGCTGTTAAAAATTTAAGTATAATATAAAATTAACTAATTGAATGTAATTAATAAATTTGTTTAAAAACTCATTTTAATTGCTGTTGTTTTCGTGTTCATGGATTTTCAAAGAACATCGAAGATTCGCCAGTTTTCTGTGCTTCCTGACCATCGAGAACAGATCTTAGGTTGTCCTCTAGTGTCACCATTCCTAATTTCAGAATGTATGGTGTGGGTGCTGGGCACTCAAAAATTTGTTTCGTAGTTACAGTGACATCCGGGCAGTTTCTGCAGCGAAACTAATTTTACTTGATTAGAATAAATAATTCTTTTTATAATAAAGTACATACAAACAATATTAAATGTAATATATGAAATGAGTGTCTAACGGTACACAATAAAAATTTTGGTGTTTAGTTGCCACCATTTTTAATATTGATGTAAACTAAATACATTTTTAAATACAGAATTGCAGTTACCGAGCAAGAAATATATAAAAATGACAAAATAACAGTTTTTTGAAAGAGTTAGTAGAAATATATAACTAAGAATGAGCTTGGTATTTAAACAAAATGTTTTTGCAATGAAGACATTAAATTGATTCTAACGCACATAAAAATATGTGCTGGTAAGCAAACAAACAAACAAAAAATGAATAAAAAATAAATAAAACTATAACAGAAAAAAGTGAATAAAAAATGCGACTACATGTTTTGTAAACAAAATTTTAGTTTGCTTCAACACAAAAAATTGTAACTATAAACAAAATGTTTTACAGTGCACATTTTATGGTAAACAAAAACTCATAAACAAAGCATTTTCACTTCATAAAATGTTTTAAAAATAGTATTAGCCATTTTATCCCATTATAAATTTTGAATAACTTACAAGAAACATATGGATAAAAACACTGTGCAAAAGTGAATTGTTTCAGCTAACCTAGAATTTCCCTCCAAATCCACGAACTGGATTAAATGCGTAGAAGTGTACTTTTTTAACCCGTACTCTTAAACAAGATTTCCCATAACTCTTTAGTTTCTGACAAAAATCTTTACATGCCGAACTTGCTTGAGGCTTGTAACGAATGCAAATTTTTCTTTTTATTCTAAACTTTTAAAGTGGTCTTTAAGTTTAAACCCTTTATTAAAACAATTTGAATTTAAATAATAATAATGAAATCCAGAAATAAACTTACCTATCCAAAAAACGAAACACAATTTGAAAATGTTCCTGGAATTATACATAATGGCATTAAATCGTAACAACGAATAAGGCATCTGAAAGTCAGATTAATCTCATGACTTGTTTTTGCTTAGTTGAAAATTTTTAAATGATGTAACAGTTACGCAATACAATTGTCGGCATAGTTGAAAATTGGAATTTGATGTTACAGCTTTTTAATTGTTAAAAATGCCTCTAGACAATTATTTAAAAAAAAAAGATTGCTAACACATTGAACAAAACCGTTTTCAATTCAGGGGATGGGGAGGGTGACCACGATTGAATATCATTTATTACAAAACTTAATTCAAACATATAAACAGCATAATAAATATTCAACAATTCGTCCGTCAGTTTTTTATTAGCTTCATTGCTCTTAATGCGTGTTGAGTCTAATGGACGTAGTATTTGATTCTAGTATTTGATTGATAGTCGTTGATTCCGTTTTTCAAACTTTTCTAATGAGAATTGTTCCTCGGTTTTTGAAGACTATACTAATGGATTCAAATAAATTCCTTAGTGCTATGTCGTCCACTTGTCTAAATCACTTTGTACATTTTTAAATTAGTCTTATTTAAAGAGATTTTAAAATCAACAATTGTTTTAGAAAGTTGTGGTATTGAATTTCGGTTGTGCAAATTTAGATTTTTAAAAACCACTTTATCGCTTACAATACTGAATACGAAGAGATTGCCTGAGATGTTATATCTGTACCCTATGTATCTTGATCCCCAAGTCCGGGACTCTGCCCCGTATGATTATGCTTTGTGTTTAAAAAAATAAGAAAAAGAACGTACGAAGTTCTTCGTTTAGTTTCTAACTTTGAGAACATTGATAATGGATCTATAATTGTGTGCAAAATTTTTTCAATCAGCTTAAAAAATTCTCGAGATATAGTAAAATACACAAAAAGTAAAGTTAACATTAAGGGGCCCACAATTTAGGCCACTCTCCTGGCAAAACTATTAAAGCCATATTTCGCAGAGTGCAGCTACGCCCTATATTTTGCGGTAAGAAATCCGAATCCGTCGGGAAAAAATTATGTTTATTCAGAGAAAGTGCCTGTGTGTCTGATTTTGTAACTTAAAATATCGTCTGCACTTATTAGTTAGCATATTTCAGATTAACCCCTCGAACCATTAAGATTTAGTCCTATAACACGAAAAATCCGATCATTAAATCAAAAGTTATTTATTGTGGTCCGTTTACTTTCTAGAGCACATTACAAAATAGCTACTAAGTTCTCCAAGCCTCCACTGTCATGATATTTTATTTTTCGGACTTTGATGGCATATAGTGCACTGTAAGAAATTGTGACTCAAAAGTGAGCCAAAAATTAGGCAAAATTGTTCTAAAACAAATAGTAGTAGAGTTTGAAAACCCCATATGTTCAAAATTGAAACAGCATATACTCATTTTTGATCAAAATGTATAATCAGTGATGTAGCGAGAGTAATGTGTGAGAGAGCTGTTCATTGGCTGCCGGTTGTATCTCCAGAGATGCTCTAACTACCATAGCTGTACACACCAGTTCAGAGTGAGTTAGGAAGCCATATATAGTGGCCCCTCAAAGCACATCATGACTTGCTTTCGATTCGTATAAACAAAAAGTGAAATTAAATTGTCAATTAAAATTATTAATTATTATCCAAATCGCAACCCTTTGTACCATTGAAATCGGAAATTAACAGGTCATAATGTGTCCTTGCGGCGGCCACTATATAAAGCTTCCTAACTCTGCCTGGACTGGGCCTGCAATTTTGTTGGTTACAGCGTCTTACTAGGATCAGGAAGATCATTGGTTCGATCATTGTAACCAATGAACATCTCTCTCGTACATTTTTCTTTCCACATCAATTTTGCGACTATGCATTTTGCTCAAAAATTAGTATTTTCTGTTACAATTTTGAATACGCAGGAATTTCAAATTCGGTTGTTATTTGTTTCGGAGCTATTTTGACACAATTTTACTCAATTTTGAGTAATTCTTTCCTACAGTGTGGGTCCTTTATTAAGGAAATCCAGATTGTAGGCGCATAGATATGTAGCGATTGGTACTTTCGTATGAATGGATTTAAATACATATGAAAATACTTTCCTTCCCAATCGAAATGTATGCATAATGTTTTGCACCAATAGAAAGATTTAGATAAAAAAAGAATTTCCACAATCATATGTGATAAAAAATACGTAGGGATTTTGCTATGTTAAGAATGTTTTCTTCCAATTTTAAAAAGCAAAACAATACATTCATTTTACTTAAATACCCTTACTGGATATTGCTATTTTTAAAAATATCAACTAGTTCGATTTTTTAGAGTATATCTGAACATTTAACAATATCGGGTAAATGCAAAAAATCGGGCTAACAGTTTTAGGCATATTCATTTATTACCTACTATTTCACATGAAAATAACCAATATTATAGGCTATAATCAGTAAATATTTGATATTTGCTGATTGTACCTTTTTAAAAGAGAAGAATTTTATTTATGATCAAATGTTATCTAACAGTTCATAATTTTGTTTCTTGCTGATTATAACCGTTTTGTACTGGAGAAATCCCTTGATGCGAACTTTAATATAGGAAGAAGATTTAGTCATCTTTGGCTGTAATTAGCCAAAAATTAATAAATGTTTTGATGGTATTCACCTGAAAGTTATTTAGTTATCTCTTTTATTTAATGGTATTTATTATTATATTATTTACTTAAAAATATATTATTTAAAAATTATCATTTTTAACACAATTTTTGTTATTACACTTTTTTATTTTAAATATTATTGAAAATCAGAAGCTCATAAGCAGAAGTTCTGTATATTTATTATAGTTTTTCCAAACAAAACACCGAACGGAGGAGCTTTAACAGTGACACGCGAGTGTCGCTGTTAATTGGTGTTAAATGGCACATATGGTGTTTAGTTGAACTAGATTATTTTACTTCTCAAATTCAATTACACGATACTTATTCTTAAACTTGAACAGAAGCATAATTTAATCTAACACTTTATTAAAAATGCTGCAAACTTGAAATGCCCAATTTTGAAGATGCCGAGACATAATAGCCGATATGATAATACGATATGCTTGCTACATCGAACAAACTAGATGAGCTTCAAAATTTAGACTTAAGGAACACGTTATCAAGAATATGAGTAATCATTAATTGCTGCACACTGTTGGAATCTTGTGTATAAATTCAACTTCGACAATGCTAAAATTATTTCCACTCCAGGTACATCATCTCACATTGATGCCCTGGAATACCTTATTCATATGAATGCTGATTTCCTTTTTAATGATATTAGTTCCTCACCACATCTCCAAATTCATTTCACCCTGAATGGCTTTTTTCGGCCACTGTGGATTTTATTGCTCTGATTTTCATCTTTTATCTCTCTCGGCTATTGTGGTTTTTCTAATTTTGTTTCTCACCTTCATTTTTCGTCAACAACTTTTCGTTTTATGTTTTAAATCATTTTTATTTCTTCTTATTCTCATTCACGTCTGGCTAATCTTGAAAATGAGCGCCTATTTTTGAGTGTTTAAAACATGTCAACTGTTATTTTCTATTCATATAATTTTTTAAAGCGAATGAAGATTAATCAAGTAATACCGATAATACGGTTCGATTTGGAGGGAAACATGATTTATTTTAACACCTTTTAAAATTTACAGTCAAATTTCAACGTATTATTTTTTAAGGTACCGATATCATGGTCCAACGTTAAATAAATTTTCAAAAGAATGCCTTGGAAAGAACAAATTAAAAAAACACACACACTGAGTGAGTTTAATTTATTGACGTGATTGGTTAAACGTGGTAACGTTATGACTTAAAGGTAGTTGATATTTTAAGTATCAACTTTTTTATACATCGTTTGGTTCATCGAAAATAATCTTATAGTTTATCTTATAATTGAAAGGATATCGTTTAAGAGGGCTTAGTTATTCTACGTAATTCTAAAAAGTCATTTGATAAGCAGGAAGTGAAAATTATAATGGTAGGTCTGAACAATCATTAAATGAGCTAGTCATCATACAGTTTTTCTCTTTCCATAAACCTATTACATTGCACATTTGACATTGCACAGGTTTTAGAGCATTGCATGCAATATTTGTATCAGATTTATATTTTTATTTTACTTGATTAATTTATTTTATCACTTTAAATTGTTAATTGTTAAAATCATTCCATATAATGTTAATACATTAGTATTAATTTTACATTGTTCTGAATTTTATTTTCATGTAATTTGAAACAATTTATACTAATTTTAGTGCACCATCTTTTATCTTTTTTACTTCATTAATAAAAGCAACACGTGAATTAAATATTAACATTTTTAAAAAGAATTAACCACAAAAGAAAGTTATTTTTAAAAAAAAACATAAAAATATATGGTTTAATTTCAATAATTTTCTCAAGCTAATCATTATAAATTTGAGAAAAAAGTACTGCAAAATACATAACTTTTTACTTTTTATTCTAATTAGACCACGACCTCACATTTTAACACGGTTAGAAAAATTTTGGAAGTAAATAGCGAGCGTTGTTATTTTATTTGTGAAAAAATAAGTAAAGATGATAAAAAAAAAATTTCAAGCGTTTTTTCTTCTTGAAATAAGCCTCTATGGTGAGCTAAATTACATTATTTGTTATGAGTTTGTTTTTGAAAACTAAGTAATTTTTTTAAGAAAGTAAAAAAATATTAGACATGTGAAGAATTTCGAATTTCATAAAATTTACTAGTTCAAGGTATTTAATCATAGCCTTAATTTTAAAAAAAACTTTACATTTATTGAAATGTATCTAAATTATTTACACATGAGCGTCAACTTTTTTTAAAAATATTTATATAATGTTTTTAATATGCAGTGTATTTATAATTAGCACTTTTAAAATCTGAATCTAGAATCTTCGGAGAAAAAAAAATTGAATTGAACACGTAAGGTTTCGCAAATTAATATTTAATCAAGATTTTTTTAAACCTAAATTTGATTTCTATTCGTTAGCTTTAGAATAATTCCATCAATAAAATGGTTTTAGATACTTTTTTAAATCCTTACGTTTGCTATGATACGTTTCTTTTTACTATGTTACTATGATACGTTATCCTTATGT